CCCCCCCACAAAAAAAAAAGCAAAACTAGAATGAACTGTACTAAAGAATTTTGGGTAGAGCAAATGAATAAATGTACAAAAGGAAACATATTAAGTATATTGCTGCTGAGCAACAAAGTTATTTGATTTTGCTTTCCTCACTGCCAATGTTATGTGCTGTTTGAAATGCATATGAAAAAATGGATGGTAACTCTTTTTATTGCTTATGATGTTAATAGTACTGGTCGTGGTGAGATTTAATTTGGGATGTCCTTTAGTTCAAATTACAAAGAGATAAACTGTCTGATAATTCTACATAGTGAACTTGCAAGCTGCTTTTGTTGTTGAGACAATCTTTTGGACAAAAGGTTTTCTCCTTATATGATTTATGGAGGTCAGGGATATATTGATTTCAGCATATCTGCTTTCTATGTGATTCAGATGTTCTCTGAATTGAAGACCGTACTCTAGTTACCATCATGAATTCAATACTGGATCGCGTAGCTAAAGACTGTGGTAGACGGAATAGCTCAAGTGCGTCCACTAGTGGGGACATCTTTGAGCCTTTGTCAAGTAGTAATGGTGAGCCTGAAGGTGCAATAAATTTAATACCATGTATTTGCTGATAAAACTCTTGCTTGGGCTGATTTTCTCTTTGACTGCCCTTTGTTATCTCTACAGCTAAGCAACGGGGAATTTTGGTAGAGTGGATAAACAGTCTTCTTCCTCACTTAAGTTTGCCCATAAATGCTTCTGATGAGGAGTTAAGAGCATACTTAGTTGATGGTACAATCTTGTGTCAATTATTGAACAAGCTGAAACCAGGTTCCATACCAGAGGTAGTAGTAATACATTGGATATTACAGTACATAGAAGCTAAGGGTGGGTTTGATTTGATGTCTGACTTACCATATCTTTCATTCTAGTTTGGTGGTTCAGGTCATTCTTTGGGGTTAAGCTCAGAAAATATAAAAATGTTTTTGGCAGCTATGGATGAAATGGGCCTTCCCAGGTTTCAAGCATCAGATCTAGAAAAGGTTAACACTAATATAAAAGTTATGCTCTTGTGTTTCTAATACATTTTTATCATTTTAAATCTGCTTATCATTATATAAAATGATTGTAAGCAATAATTCACATGCCATTGAGTTCTATATGTTTCCATATGCCGAAAAGTGTAACTTTCTATACCTTTAAGTACGATCACGCATCTTTTTTCTGCTTTTGATATATTTACTCTGATAACATTATGCAGGGATCCATGAAAATTGTTCTGGAATGCCTTTTAACACTTCGAGCAGAATTTATGAATGTTGGAGGAGATGGTTTTAACACACCATTATCTCGTAAATCTAGTTCTGATGCAAGTACAAGATGTAAACAGTTGGGAGAAACTTTTGGATGTGCCGATGTAGCTTACAGACAGGAATTGTCGAGTACTCATTCTTCCCCATCCTCAACAGAAGGGAAACGAAAAATAGGATCAGATTCAAAATTCCAGCGTGCTTTGAGAAGTCCTGTAATGGCAGGTTTGGTTGATTAGTTCTCATTCCTTAAACTCTCATTCCTTAAACTTCATCCCTCCCCTAATCAACAATATCTCTTTCTTTGATTGTTGACTTCTCTTTTTTGAACTGTCTAGAGCCATCAGCTGCGTTGTTACATCACGTTGGACATAAATTCCATGAAGTATTTCAGCTTAAACAAGGGGGCTATGCTGATCTTCCGCCTTCAAAGATTTCCGAAATGATGAAATCTAACAGTTTGGATGTTAGTAGCATAACCCTTTTTCAATGAAACTGGAATAAATTTTACATCTGAAATTTTTGAATTCATACTTATTCCAACTTATTTTTGTTGCACCCAGATTGCCCCCACGCAGTCACTTCTCAGTGTTGTGAATGGGATTCTTGATGAAAGCATTGAGCGGAAGAATGGCGAGATACCTCATGTGCGCACATAATAGATATAGATATTCATGCAGAGATTATGTTATTTTCTACATAAATACTTTCACAAAAATCATGGCCTAACATTTAGTTCTTTAACTCTGTCAGCGTGTAGCATGCTTGTTGAGAAAAGTAGTGCAAGAAATTGAGCGGCGAATCTCAACTCAAGCTGAACATCTTAGAACGGTATAATGCAGCAGAGCTGTTTTTACTTTTCCCCCATATTCTCTTTATAATGAACCTGACTCATGTCAATTCACTCTCTGTAGCAAAACAATCTATTCAAAACTCGTGAGGAGAAATACCAGTCACGGATAAGAGTCCTGGAAGCCCTTGCAACTGGGACTAGTGAAGAGACACAGGTAGTGTGGACTTCACTTTCTGTGAAATTTTTGTTGAATTCTGGAATATTTTACTTCTTAAAGAGGTATGTGCACCTTTCACTCACACAGATCTTTCATTTCAGATTGTAATGAACCAGCTTCAGCAGATTAAGGTAGTTCACCACCTGGCTTCATATGCCGCATTGTTTGGCAATGATCAGTAATATTTAACTGTAAATATGCATTACATCATTTTCATTTTCTGTAATTGTGTGTTTTAACTCTAAATATGATCTATCTATCTGATCTCTTGAAGATAAAGTTGCCTATACTTTCTATCATCAGAGGTTTTTGCTTGTTTGAAGTAGCACTCAGAGAGAAGCATTATTGTTACATCTTTACATCAAAACATTATCTTCTCTAGTATTATATATTTAACAAGCCTACAATTGGTCATCACTTGTTTAAATGAAAATTGCTACTTATTGAAAAGGATCTGATGTCTACATTCTGCAAGAATATTTCAGCTTATTGATTCTTTCCCACGATTTTAATGTTTGCCATCCATTTTTGAATTGAAATCATATTACAGAATGTAAAAATCAAAATGGAGGAGGAAAAGAAAAATGAGGATCAGGATGTGGTTAGATTGATGAAGGAGAAGGATGATCATAGTCAAGAGATTGCAACTGTAAAGCAAGAAATGGAAATAGCTAAGAGAACATATGAACAACGCAGCGTAGAAATGGAAAAAGAGGCCAGAGAAGCTCAGCAAAAGCTTGAGGAGAGGTTGAAAGAGGTCGAGAGCCTTTTAAAAGAATCAACAAACAGAGTGAAAGAAATCGAGATGTTTTCTGAATCAAAATCACAGAGATGGAGCAAGAAGGAGAATGTTTACCAAATATTCACAGAATTCCAGCTTGGTGCACTACGTGTATGCTCTGATCTTTTTTCTCTTAATTTTTTTCTAACATAATTCATTGTCTATCACATTTGATCTGGATCTCCATAAACATTCAGGAGCTGAGGTTTGCCTCTCAGTCAATAAAGCAAGAAATAGTGAAAACACAAAGGAGCTACGCAGAGGAATTCAATCAATTAGGTTAGTGCTGTATGAATAACATGGAAGTATATTGGTGGAAGATGTCAAAACAGATTTTACTGTTAAGCGATTTTGTTGGATTTTTCTTATGAAGTTAAATTTCTATCATAGGTGCAAAATTTAGAGCGCTAGACCATGCAGCTGCAAACTACTCTGCCGTCCTTGCTGAGAATCGCAAACTACACAATGAGGTCCAGGAGTTAAAAGGTATTGTTATATTATGAAATTTTAGAACTAAGAGGCCCGAAGATTTCTCTCCTTTTGCTGTTACTTATAAATATTTTTTCAAATTAGGAAATATTAGAGTGTATTGTCGTATAAGGCCATTCCTTCGTGGACAAAAGGAAAAACAGACAGTGGTTGAATACATCGGAGAAAATGGGGAGCTAGTTGTTGTCAATCCTTCCAGACAGGGAAAAGAAGGCCGTAGGTCTTTCAAGTTTAATACAGTCTACAGTCCAACTGCAACACAAGGTTTTTCAGATTCCTCCAAATTATGTCAAATAAAAGTTCTATACATATTCTGTAAAATTATGTTCCATGTAATGAATAATAAAAGGAATTTCACAATTTCTACCTTTGCAGCTCAAGTGTATTCAGATATTCAGCCCTTAATACAGTCTGCGCTCGATGGTTTTAATGTATGCATATTTGCCTATGGTCAGACTGGCTCAGGAAAAACGTACACCATGGTAAGAATTCCGTCCTATAAAAATTTGGTAAATATGCTTCCACATCGTTTGACATTGCTGAAGTCTAGTTAAATTAACCTCCAGACTGGCCCTGATGGAGCAAGCGAGGAGGATTGGGGAGTCAATTATCGAGCTTTGAATGATCTTTTCAGAATTTCTCAAATGAGAGAGAGCACTTTCAAGTATGAGATCAAAGTTCAAATGCTGGAAATATATAATGAACAAGTTCGTGACTTACTGTCAAGTGATGGTTCTCAAAAAAGATATCCTTTACTAAATCGATTTTTTCACCTTTCCTGGCATTGTATCCATATTATGTTACAAAATATCAAAATTTTGTTTATCATGCATCTGCAACTGTTTTCCTTGATTTGCGCACACTTGGGATTTTATCTACCTCTCAACCCAATGGGTTAGCTGTCCCAGAAGCAAGCATGTTCCCGGTCAATGGAACCTCTGATGTCTTAGACTTAATGGATACGGGATTGAGAAATCGAGCAAAAGGTTCCACTGCCATGAATGAAAGAAGTAGTCGATCACACAGGTTCGAAACAAAGAAATCATCTCTGGATTTCAATATTTAAACTGCGTGTTTTTCTCTTTTAAATTTTAATAGGTCTTTAACTTATATTGCAATATATGTCCAGCATCGTGACTATCCATGTTCATGGGAAGGATATAAAGAGTGGTTCATCTATGCATAGTAGCCTTCATTTGGTGGATCTTGCTGGAAGTGAAAGGGTAGACCGCTCTGAGGTGACGGGAGATAGACTAAAAGAGGCACAACATATAAATAAGTCATTGTCTGCTTTAGGGGATGTCATCTCAGCTTTGGCACAGAAGAATGCTCACATTCCATACAGAAACAGCAAGCTCACTCAAGTCCTTCAGACTTCATTAGGTAATTCTCTTTCTATACAAAAGGATTTTGCTTCCAGTTCCTTGTACAAATTGTTGAGATAATTTGTAGCATTGGTGTTAAAAATTTTGAACATGTTAGGTGCTTTCTTCTTATGTCAAGCCATTTTACCTTATGAATAACAAATATAGTTCGAGAACACATATAATTATAATTTGATAGGTGATAGATTCAGCCATTTTAATCTTGCTCCATAGGTATTACACTTTATTTGGTCTCTACTTGCTTTCATGGAAACAACCACAGAATCACCTATGCCCTAATAGATTTAATATATATTTTTCCTCATTGATAGGGTGGTCCTTTTGCAGTAACTCATAATTCTATTTTATTGTACAGGTGGTCAAGCAAAGACACTTATGTTTGTGCAGCTTAACCCTGAAGTTGCTTCATATTCAGAAACCATGAGCACATTAAAATTTGCTGNCATTCATTCAGGTATGGTGCGTCATCTCCAGGAAAATGTTTATTTGGTGGGACTTAGAATGTAGTTTGAAATTCTCTACTTACTGACAAAGCAGCTTCTGATGAGGAACTGCTCAAAGAGAAGTGATTAGAATTATTTAGCTACGTGACGAGTTCAGACACCAAATGGAGTCCCTCCAGCAGTCTCCATCCGAGACTGCTTGATGGATTCTAAGTCAGAATATTTCTGCAGATGCTGATATCTTTGTGTTCAGCAACGCAGATAATGAGGAAAGACTAAGTGATATGCTATCTGATAGTGGTCTTTCTGTGGGCACAGAAACTGATGGATGTGCTGAAAGCAGCAATCCTTTCCCTGAAGGAGCCAAACCACCAGAGAACACAAATAAGTAAGTAAATATCATCCCATCATGCTTGTGCTTTCTACAGAATGTTAATTTCTATATGAAACATAAGAGAATAAATAAAGATCCCAGAGCTTTATTTTATATAGAAACTAAACTATCATGTGAAACGTTGTTATTAACTACATGGAAAAGGTAAGGCAAGTTGGTCGAGAATTCAAACAATACTTGCTGCACTGAAAAACCTGGAACTTTATAGACTTGACATCACCCCCTTTGAATTAAGGTATTCCAACTTCCGGCAGTGTTAAACTAATGCATGTTTTTGCCGTTTATATTGAGCTAACTTCTTGACTATCATCTTACACAATCTTTTGCAGACATAAAGCTACATATAAAATTCCTAGATCACCACAAAAATCAATGAGGGATTCTCCGAAAGTCTCAAATGGTATGTTGATTAAACACGACATGTTTGATGACTACAAATAAGCCAGTCCCCTTAGCCAAAGATTAGTGGTGTAATTGGAATTTCCTCAATATGTTTCAGGTCTGGGAAAATCGGTCAGTGCAACTAATTTGTTGGCCAAATCTACAAAAAGGTGGCAGTAATATGATGTAGTTGCTGTATTTATCAAATTTCCTTCTTTCTCCTGCAGTTCATTGCATGAAAGTTTTCCTACACTGTACAGATTCTTTTCATTGACCAGAGAGTCCCCTTTTAGTGTCTAGGACTATACTTGACCCTTTTATGTTTTTTGCTTCTATAGTGTTACTCTTTTTTTTTCCCTTTCTTTTATTAGGATATAGTAGACTCAATTCTTTTACGTAGGTTATTATTTCTCCATAAGGAATTCAGCGACTAAAGCTTGTATAAAGCCCCTATCGAGTTGTAACATACAAGTGTTGTTATATGAGCAAACTATCTTCTGGTTACTCATATACTGGAAATGCTTCAACATCTTTGTTTCGTCGCTTTTTTGACATTTTTATAAATGGTTTTAATGTTCTTTCCTCATTCTTTGTGGCTGAAAGAAATGGAATTCATGGGGATCTTCACTAATTATGTTTGAGGGTAACTGCGGAGTATTATTTTCAACTGCATATTCAGATGGAGGTGGGGTTACAAGTATCTAAACACTGTTGCATATATGAACAACTTATTGACTTCTGGTAAAATAACTAGAAATTCACTTTGGTAAAGAACTACATACTGAAAGCAAATCTTTCAAAGGACAAAAAAAATCTAACGGCAATCTGGTGTCGTTTTTGCTTGAGTTTCACCACCTAATTCTACATTCAATTTTAGTAAAAAATTCATCCATTTGTTGTGTAAGGTATTTAATTTCACCAATTCCTTATGGTAAAATAAGATGAGATTATTTGAAGCAAGCAAGAAGCCTACTCCCATCGAAAACATTCAAAAACAAAAATTGACTTAATTAGGACTACTACTACTTATTATATATAAAGTAACAATAATATTTTAAATCACCAAATTTTTAATATGTAATATAGGAGTATATTTCTGTGAAACGAGATATTATATTCGTCATGGTCAATTATGTGGAAGAAATTTAAAAATAAAGTATCTGAGTGTACAAGGTGGACAATTCAATGACTGAAGCTCAGTGTTACCTTTTGGAGGGAAGGATGCCGGGGTCTATTTGGAAACAGTCTCTCTACCTCAGGGTAAGGGTAAGGTCTGCGTACACACTACCCTCCCCAGACCCCACTAAGTGGGATTATACTGGGTTGTTGTTGTTGTTGTAAGCTCAGTGTTACCTTTTGAAACATTCATCCCTATTTCGAGGTTAGTAAAGTGACAATAAGGGCTCTTCTTTTGGAAATACCTTGAACCATTCTTGGAATTTTATATGTTAATGGTTGCAAAAGGGAAGAAAAAAAAAACTAAAAAAAGTAGACTATGGATAAACTAAAGTCAAAAGTGAAAAAGCAAAGCTGGCTTAAATCTGCCAAATTCATCAAAAAGATAGTTGTAAACAAAAGGTATTACACAATGGGGGACCAAACAATTTAAGGCTGAGATATCATTCTGAGTAGGATTGATTCTCCATATAGTATAAACATGGGCCATGGTAACAACGATAAGACCTGTACCTAAGTTAATCAAAGCAAACACATACCAAACAGATTACCAGATTCACGGTATTTTTAAAAAAAATATTTATACTATATGCATAGGTATCATTTGTTAGTCAAAAAAATGACTAAAAAATCGTGAAAAATCATGTACAATCAAATATCTCTATAACGGTCTCATTTGTTTCGATATTTTTTGGATGTTATAGTGAAGTGCTATTATAGAAGACATATATTATATCATTATATAAAAATTAGTTCTGAGAAAAACTTAACTTTTATAGTAAATGGTAGTTATACGAGGATGATGGTATAGAGAGGTTTGACGGTATAAATCTTATTATAAACAAAAAATGTTAGTATGTGATTTCTTTTCATTTACTTTAAATTGGTATGCGCAAACTGCTCGGATACTGCTATAGTACTTAAAAAAACTAAGGGGTCGTTTGGTTGGAAAGAAGTTATCCCGAAATTAGTTATTCTATCTTTTCATGGAAATAAACAAATATTAAAATTCCAAAATTAATTATACCATAATTTTTTACCAACTAAATATAAAATAAACTTTTCTTAAATTTATTTTCGGAATTAATTATTCCTCGTCTCTCGTATCAAACTAGCCCTAAATGTGTAACGGTCAAGAGGGAGACCTTTCTTGGAAAGTACAGGAGCCGTAGAAACCCACCCAATTTGCCGTTGTTTTATTGTATTTGTCTAGCAAAGAGGTGGCCAACCCATCAGCAGAGCCAGCTTAGCCCATAGACAAACTAGTCAGCAATCAAACTCTCCTTTAATTGCTAAACATAGCACCCCACGCCTCTTATATTCCTCCTTAATCCTAGGGAGGATCTTTGGACTTTTCAACTCAACAAACACCTTGCTCGGCCAAGCTTTCCCAATCCTATAAGTACTTTTTTTTTAAGAAAAGTATTTTTTTTTTTCAAAGTTAGATGTGTTTGATCAAATTTTTAAAAGAAAAAAAAGTGTTTTTGAAGAGAAGCAAAAGCAGTTTTCGAGAAACAGAAAAAAGTAAGTTCTCTCCAAAAGCACTTTAGAGAAAAATACACTTAAAATAATTTTTAAAAGTTTGGCCAAACACTAATTGCTGCTCAAAAGTGTTTTTCGAATTAATTAGTCAAATACAAAGTACTTCTCACTAAGGGATCGTTTGGTTGGAATACGATTTATACCGGTATAAGTTAGATTGGAATAAGTTATGCTGGGATTAGTTATGCTAGGATTGTTGTTTATTCATTCTTTGGTATGTTGTATTAAGAATGACAATTGCATAATTTCTAAAAAGAAGGTATAAGTTATACCGGTGCTAATTACCCCACCTTCTATAAGGTATAATTTATCCCAATGTTAAAACCGGGATAACTTATACCTAATTTGCTAACCAAACAGAATATTAAGGTAATATTAAATTTTTATACCACCCTTATACGTTCTTATACCTCATATAAAAGTACTTTTGAGAAAAACAATCTTGAGAAAAAAATAATTTTCTAAATAAGCTTATTTTTGCAATTTGGCCAAACAGGCTATAATTTAAATAACCATTTATTATACTAAGTACAAAAACAAACATATGAAAGCAAACCAATCCACGTAGTCTCCAATGTTCCCCATCGCAAAATAGTAAAATATTTCTTTGCAAACTCGACTTTGAGCATTCACCACCAATTCTTTATAGCAAAGAAATCATGACACATCCTTTAGAGAAGTTCAAAATCTCTCAACGGAATCACATAATAGTGGCGATAATAACGCCACTGAATGGACCCATTAGCTCTTTGTAAACATTGAATAATTACATGATTCATAGTCAAAGTTGAAAATAATCACTAGTGAATCACTAACACGTGCTTTACTCCATCTGTACTGCACTATTATTAACAAAGCAGCAGCAGGCCAAGAATAGAAAATTAGTAGTACTAAAATACAAGAATGAATTTCTAAAAAGACCATCTTTTTCCTTCAGATTACAATTACAATGAAGGATAAGTGACAAACTATTCAGTCACAAAGAAAGAAACCCTTCTTGAGTCTTTATACTACAATAAGTATTCTCAACTCATACCTTGTTCTAATGCTATAAAAGAACCCTAGTCACTACCAAAGAAAAGATCCAATTTTTTGGCCTATCTCTTACTTTGGGGTACATATTACAGTTTTATTCTTTCGGATTTCAACTTAAAAACATTCATTCATCACCTTGTCACAATATACACACATTACTGGATTTGAATGATTAGATAACAAAACTCATCAGCAAAGTGGACTAAACCATCTTCCTGTCACTCTATATATACACTACTAAACGAATTGGTGTAGTTTTCTTGCCTCTTTCCCCAAAAATCTCTTCTTTTTTTATTCATTTTTTCAACATCTTTGTGCCAAAGTGTTTACCTAAGCTACAGCTGAGATGCTGCAGCTGCCGCGACAATTGAAGCCTTCAATCCTCACAGGAGCTGGCTTGTTCCCGAACTTCACTCGAACACAGCCTCCTCCGCTCATAATGGAGGAGGGTGGCGGCGTTGAGGGCGCCA